CGCGTGAGATAAATCAGTTGTCAAACTGGAAGGAGCTTGCCCAAGCCTCGAGTGATAACTGGAACATCACTTCTCGATTCTCGGATTATCCGCCAGTTCCAGTATTACGACACAGCAATGTTCTTGCCCTTTACTAATGATCTGATATTTGACCTAGATGTCCTTAAACGTCGTTTAAACCCAAATGAACGCAAATGTATGCAATTAACATCGACAACAGTTTTATACGAATTTCTTCTTTGCTTTATTCGTAGATAATTGATTAGGATTTACGTTTCAGTTATATTTCCATGCTTTGTATAAACAAGACAATAAAGACAGACAGTAACAGTGTGCTGTGGTCATTAGACCCACTACGAATATGGTCTAATCCTTGTCTTGCACACCTGCGTAGCGATTCACTTCTATCGTTTAACTGAAATCTAATCAGAAAGTCAAAGTTGTTATTTTCTTTAAAATGAATGGTTCAAATTTTTCCCTTTTTAAATATCGTTTTTACAAAAGACACAACGATGAAAAGTGTAACAGTCCCCACCATAATTTTGTACATTTTATCTGTTTATATGTATGAAATAATATCCCAGTTATTCTGAACATTTCGTACATGTATTTAATGAAATAATTTCGATAATATCTAAACTAAATACTGTCTATCTATTTTTCTAAAAACATTCCATGTAAAATATCTAATTACGGATTCTCCGGATCCGAGTTCTTAATATTTGAATTTAGTCTCGCGAGAAAGGAAATGTACATGTAAGCGAGAGCAGCGGTGTAGATTTCGGCAGGTCGATAATTGCTTGCATTTTCATACAATTTTGGGATGTTAAATAAGTGGAGCCAAACAATTAAGTAAACTATATCGCAGAGCTGTTTCTTCCTTCCAGGGCACGTCCTTATGAATTATGAAGCCCAGGAGGCGACCGAAGAATATCTACAGTGATAATCTGAAGTCAACTAGTAGTGTGTACCACGTGCAATCTCGTAGATTGTACAAAAACACACGCAAGTGAATAGAAGTAAGATGCTTTTTTCTGCACATGATACGTTTACCTCTTGTGTTTTCAGATAATTATGGATTTTTCAAGAATTTGAATAACTAATAACAATAGAACTTGCTGTCATATAAAAAAAAACTAACTAATCAGGCATTATTGATGGACGTTACCTTACGTTGTTTACAATATTCTGGTATACCTATATACAAATAAACAAAATAAGTGTTACATCATGAAAACAACTTTATTTAAAAATGAAAACACAGGACAAATAAAAATATTTTAAAGTGTGCAGGCCATTTGCAGTTTTATTCTTAAAAAGTAGTTGAATTTCAAGCAAATTTAAAAAACAATACAAAAAGATTTGCGTAGATTTCACTTTATAGGAACGTCACATAAAACACTACAATAAAACACAAAATGTAAAATACAGGTGGGGCCGCGGTGACAAAGTGATTAAGGTGTCTGATTGTCTTCAATACTAGCTCTGAAACTCTGGGCATTGGGTTCGAGACCTGCGCGGAACTCTGGCATTCCTCCACCAACCAAAGCTGGCACGTCCTTAAATGAACCTGACTGTTAATAGGACGCAAAGCAATAATAAATCAAACATACAGAACAATTATGAGTTTTCATTCATATCAAATATATGCAACGAGTCTTAGAATTTTTTGCTTTCCAAGGGGTTTCAAAAATCACTAATGAAATGGAAACGAATATAAAATTCTGTTTGTCAATTGACAAATATACTTTTACCCGTTCGTATGTATTTGTGTAAAATTTGAATTGGCGAAATATTTATTTTTGTCTCATTCTTAAGTGAAATTAATATCTATATGACGTGATGTGTTGTAATATCATAATGATAGGTCAAATTACACTTATGTCAAAAAAAAAGAAAAAAAAAATGGTTCATACTTATAGAAGGCTAGTTTTGTAAACATGTGTCGAAAACATTTGTATAATAACAAACTGACTCATATCGTGATAACAAAGAAATGATATATAACAATAGTTTAGCTAATTCAATTGAAATGTCGTATATCATACTCTTACGATAACATGTAGATTTTCAAGAAAACAAATACAATGATAACATAGACATAACGACCAGTAGAATACCTTACTTATCTAAATGACAAGTACCACTATAACAAGTAATTGTGAAGATGACATAAATGCATTTATGCAAATATATATGATGATTACAAAAATATTTCATTATCACAAGGATATGCTAACAGACTACTATACGCATTTCAAGACCAAACAATATAATATATCATTATGTATATAAAAAGGAATGTAATGATAAAGTAATATTTTACATAAACAAAGATATGTTGATGCAATAATTTGCTGTTATCTGTGTGTTCAGGTCTATTCATGTCAGATCAGAGTTGAAATTCTGAGATACAATCTTATCTGAGATCGAAATTAAGATCTTGAACATAGACGAGTAATAGAATATTATATTTCTCAGTACAATTTTGTCAAAATTGTACAATATCTCCAAATGCTTCGATTCCACAGGATTATATTTCTTTTCGGTTATACGAAACAGTGATATCGGATACAAACCACGCAAGGTCAAAGGTCTTTACACAAGGAACACACATGCCAAATATGAAAACCCTATCTCCCATGGTGCAATAGTTATGGGCAAGTTAATATAGGCCAAAGGTCACGGTCAAGGCCGCACAGTCCTAACGTTTAGTAGCCCCGATAATACCAACATATCAACATAATCATAATCCAAACTTCCTCGGAACTATATATGTCGCTTGCATAAAGTGTCACGGTCACCCAGAAACAACCATACAACCATAAAGTTGTAATACCAAATTTCATTTCTATAACTTGAAGCATAAGGGGAAAACTGCGCAAAGCAATATTCCTGAGAAATTGTCCAAGTTCAAAGGGGCACAACTCAGCCAAGAAGGGTCACAGATAGCATATAGCAAATGTCATTTCTATAACTCAAAGCATAACCAAAGAAAGTCAAGAAAACAATATTCCCAGAGAATTGTCTAAGTTCAAAGGGGCATAACTCAGCCAAGAAGAGTCACAGACAGCCAGGAATCGAACTTAATATGTACCCCTGCAACAAAAAGCCATATGCCAAATTTCATTTTGATAACTCAAAGCATTACCGAAAAAAATTCGGGAAACTTTCATACGGACGACGCCGACGACGCGTGACGACGGAACAAAGTGATCCCTAAGTGTCCGCCAGCTCTGCTGGCGACACAATAAAATTATTGCCAAATATAAACAAAAGAAAGATTTACACAATATTTCTTGGAAAGGTACAAGGAGAAGATAAAACGTTCCGGGAGAGTAAACGTATTCTGCTTCACCGACGCGGAAAGCGTTTATATACGATAAAATAGACCACGTGTTAAAGAAAAATGAAATATAAATCATGCTATATGAAACCAATGCTATGTAGAACTATGTATTAGATAGTTTATATTTTCGTTGATATGTACGATATATCATACTTCATAAATAATTTACAGACTGAAAGATGACCCTAGTTAACATCACGAATAAAACACGAGTAAATGTAGCGGAACCAAACAATTATAGATACTGTTGACGTCATTTGTTTTCTCATTAAACATTCATAAAGTTGAATGCAAGGAAATGGAATGAGGATATGTTTAACACGGGTACCTTCAACATAAACTTTATTTGCAAAAGGTTTGATAAGAATTAAAACATACTGTTTAGAATCAACACTGAAAATGTTAATGTTACGAAACAAAGTTAAAACCCTACTTGCTGCAAGCAAATAATTTTTCTTTTATCTGAACAATTATTGAAATAAAAATGCATTTTACGCAAAAGGATATGTTACTTATACAAAGGACATATGACAGGGGAAAGAAATAAGAATTATGATCTCGCCAATTTCAATTGTTTGTATTATCATCTATTAATTTGTGTGTTTTTAATATATTATGCCAATTTCCGTTAAATATTCAACACTTGTAGTTACTTTGTTTCAAAGAAAAACGGTATTGATGTAAAATCTTAAATGATTGGTTAAAAGGCTAGTTTATAAAAATTGAAATTACTGTCTTGATTGAATGGATGTTATCCAAATTTATGTAGCTAATTGCTTGATATAATCGCCTTTTAAAAATTGGTTTATATACTAAAAGACAATGTGATATTACTGGAACAGCGACATTAGATAATAAGAAATCCATGCAAAACAAATAATTTTTAAAACTTCATAATGTGGAGAAGTATATACATTGTACATAGTGACTTTCAAAATATTGTATATACTAAAATAGATATTGGAAGAGAGGGCGAAAATGTCAAAGAAAAGAATGGGACATTGTAGTTGTCTGTTGGTAACCATTGCAGGTAATCATGTAGGGTAATTGATGTGTCTAGAGCAACAATTAAGAACTCATTTTCCAAAAAATATCATGTTTTGATGTTTATACATCGAAAACTCTCACAATACATTAATATTGATGATAGTAAATAAAATTTAAAAAGGTATTTACAGTATATGGAATATATATTCCATATAGGTGCTGGAAATATACTCATACGTACTTAAGACAAATCTGCTATTGAAGATTTAATTCTTGTCATCGTCTGTCTTCAATCTTCTGCCAGGGAACATTACTTATCAAACTAGGTTCAAATCATGTCTTCATCGTATCCCATGTCACAGCCAAGTGTTGTCAAACAGCCAGTTTTTTCCCGATTGATAAGACTTTCCTGCACATGGCGTAAAACGCGTCAACTCCAAAAATGTGTTGTGTTGTTATTGAAGATGCCAGCCAATGATTTTTCCTTTTTATTTATTTATTTATTTATTTATTTATTTATTTATTGACACAGCTTGAATTATTCTGGAATATTTTCACAATAATATTTTTGAGAATTTGAAGAAAATAAAAGAAAATAAAGAAAGAAAAAGAAAAAAAAAGTTGTAAATAAATAAATAGATAAATAAATAAGGCCTGGCTGCCTTCAAATATTCTCATCAGTGTTTTTACTTTTTGAAGGCAGTGATGACGATGATTTCTCCTTGACCTGGATTGGGGAAACGCTGGAAGTGCTTTTCTTCTTTTCATTTTCGTTTTCATTAATGGATGACCCCCAAACTTTTGAATATGCATAGAACAAGAGAAAGTTATTTACAAATATAGGGATAATGACTGCAAGAAGGCAAACTCCAGTGACAGCACAGACGGCTCCAACAAGTTTGGACAGTCCAATAGTCGGATAAACATCGCCATAACCGACCGTAGTCATGGTTACTATCGCCCACCAGAAAGCATCCGGGATACTTTCGAAAACGGTGTCTCCCGAAAAGAAGGCAAAAGCACCGAACATAAGCATGGCGACCACCAGAAACATTGACATAAGCATCACTTCAATGGCACTAGCTTTAACGGAATACAACAGCACCCGGAATCCGATGTAGTTCTTGACGAGCCGGAAGAGACGAAAGACTCGGACGATTTGCAGGCAATGGACAATATCAAATACTGATGCTTGGTATTTGTCTTTGGGATTGATCGCATTGACAACATATTTCGAGTACATCACGAGTAGGGCAAATATATCCACCAGGTTCAGGAAAGAAATGAAAAACTTCTTCTTGAAAGGGCAAAAGACCATCCTCATGACGATTTCAATTGTGAAAAACGTGACTGTTATGTATTCTATATACACCAGAAAATCAAGATGTGTTGCCGTCTTTGGAAGCGGGGGCATTGTCGTGTTGGAAAGGTCACTTCCATCAAAGTATGCCTTGTACGTGTCGAATTCATCACCGAAAAATTCCTGCCACTCCTCCAGATTCAGAGATCGTTTGAACGTCTTGTGTGTTCCAGACACAAGAGCCGATATGGAGACGATGACAAAAGCCGCGCTGACATAAAAGTAGATCTGCAAAATAAAACCAAAAAAAGTATGACACATATTTGTTCACTGTAAATGACTGAACAAAAACAACAGCAATGTGAAAAATACTGTAATGTTTCCGATTTTCCTCTTCGTCTGTTTTATAAACTTTAAATTGTTGGGATTACAATATGCAAAATAGGATAGCTATTTATGAAAATGAATATTAGAATATATGGTAGGATAAATATATTATAAGGAATATTCAATATATACATAAATTCACAAACTTTCTACATTCTGTTCTTCATATAAGTGAAAACATGTGCGATAACATGTCATTGTAATATTTAGTTTCATCAGTACATATACTAAATATAGCCATCCTTTCTTGTAACTTGTGGTAAAGAGTTTTGACTCAAAACAAGGTTTTCATGTCTATAACGTGACTGGTACCCGTGCAGACGGAGAAAATATTGTTAGAGTATCTCTATGTATGTCTGAAGAGGCGACTAATGTGACGCATACCTTGCAGGCATGGGGAGCAGGGGGAGGGGGAGGAGGACTGATGTCTTCTAAACAAATCCGGTGCATAATTTGCGACCATCATGGTAATGCTATTCGCGCTGCAAATTTCAAAACACTATAGGATGATCAAATGTTATTAGATGATGGTGATAAAACGCATGTTTTGATTGGATCATGTTCATGATCCAATCACCGGTATACTCAGAAATCGACAACGCGTTACCATAGAAATGTATGACTTAATCCGGCATCGTATTGATCGAAGCCTGAATATGTGCCAGTAATTTCAGAGTCTCATGAAATATGAAAGAAGAAAGATTAACTTCTCAATCCACCCGATCAAGTCCTAACCTTCAGTCCACTGTCACGTGGTATTGTACCCTACCTTTACCAGAAATTCTATAAAGGATTATAAAGATTGTACAAAAGACACACAAGTGAATAACACCTTTTGATAATTAAAGTTAGATACAATAGAACCAAACAATGCATCATACAGCTGTTTCGTCCTTGTAGGACTCGTCAGTGATGCTACATCATACAGCTGTTTCGTTCTTCTTTGGAATCGTCAATGAGGCCTAAGTTTTGAAGCCTAGGAGGTGACCAAGGAAAATCCAAAGTGATCGAAAGAAAAGTTGAAATCTAGACGGGGAGGTGAAGTAGACCCGTAATTAAATAGGTTTCGTATTTTCATGCATCAGATAACTCCTATTTTGAAATAAGCGCGCGCTGGGAAGTTCATGTTGCACCGTTTCTGCCGTCGATGGGAAACTCCGAAGCTTCTTCACGCTGTCAACTGGTTTATCTGTCTCTATTATATTTGCCACTCATACAAAGACGTGATGAATTCTCACAAATAATTCACACTGTGAAAAATTTAACGCTATTTCATGTACATCCGGGCCCAAATTTACTTTACTTAAAAGTGGGCAAAGCTTCTACGTCATCAATGGTTAAAAAGACAGATATGATTGGCTACCAGTGGGTTTGGGAAGGCATTAAATGAAGGGCTTCTAACAGTATGTAGTGATATACAATTCTCATACAAAGGCGTTTAATTTATTGCAACAACGCACGTGTCAAAGACGATTTATACTTTTCACGATTAAAAATAGCAAATCTACAATGCCCTAACATCTCGTAGTGAACCCGGTTTGCGTCGTTACATCATTATCACTTTCTTTAATTTTTTAGTTCATTTTTTTTCTGGAATTTTTGTGATCAGTTTTTAATGTATTTGTAATGTACAGGTTACGAGCAGGCTACTAATTATCTCTTTTGAGAGTCAATATTCCAATATCGTGTTGTTGCTCCTTTGCGTCTGATCATTTTCTGAACCTTTGATCATCGTAAAATCTATAATAACATTCAATGCTAATTACACCTTCAAAGTTAAAGAGAAATGTTCCTTCTTAATAAGTATTACTCCTGTCTATGTTCCAGTCGTGTAATGTCTATGATTAACCGATTATGAAACTGGTTATAAAAAAAAGATAACACAAGTTTTGATGGCTTTGATATTCTTTAAAGAATCTCTTTCAGAAACAATGGAATTTTGCCAACAAATTAACAATCTTGAACATTTTTCAACAGTTTTTCAGATAAGAAATGTTTTCTGGAAAAATAAAAAAAAACTATTGTCGTTTTCAGTGCACCAACTATTTTAACACTACAAAATACTATGAAATCAGGTTTTAACTGAACTCTAAATTCCTTGCGTTTCAAAATAGTCTTTATTTCGTGTATCTGAAATCGTGAGAAAATGTGACTCAATAAATCTGCTTATGTTAGCAGTTCGTGGACTTATTAATTAATGAAAATAAATTCCCCACGAAAAGTAATGATTTTGCAGTATAAATGTTCGTAGCATCAAGAATAAACGTGTCGGAAAAGAAAGCAGAATGTTTCTACGTTTCTCTGTATATATATTATATACATTGTATATATAAAAACATATGATGTCGCAAAATGTGTTTCTTTTCAAAAAATTGCGAAATTAAAATGAATTTCAGATGGAGAGACGGTCAGTAGGTACGTACGATGAAACTATTGAGGCACTGTGCAAACTTGACTTAATTTGTTGAAATAGAAAAGTGCTCTAAACAGAGAGTATTATCAAACTGACTGATTTCCTCTGTAACGGCTGTGATGGGCGGTCTGAATAGTGAGGACAGACTGTATAACCAGACAGACAGACCTGCCTTACGGCCATGTTGGGCGGTCTGAATAGTGAGGACAGACTGTATAACCAAACAGACAGACCTTTCTTACGGCCATGTTGGGCGGTCTGAATAGGACAGACTGTATACCCAAACAGACAGACCTTTCTTACGGCCATGTTGGGCGGTCTTAATAGCGAGGATAACTAAACAGTTGGACTTCGCCTGTTACGGCCATGTGGGATGGTCACTTTTGTTCATATTGACTGTTATAAAGCTAGTGTGTTGATGATACTTCTTTTAACACGATGTCATATCGTATCAGTGTGGCAAGGTTCACATCTTGACACAGCTAAATGGTCTCACAACAAATAGATATACCTGGTAAAAATTGAACTGAAAAAAAAATGGTCTTAGTGACGAGGTTGTTCAATTGATGTTGTCCCTAAGCGAAGTTTCATGATACATAGGAGACAAAAGTAACATACATATATATATTAAATTACTTCAAATCAAATTAAAATTAACAATATCATAGTTTTAATGGTAATTGAGAGCGCGAGACAGCCACCTGGATATGAACTTTCATCTATGGAAGCCCTTGGGAGACACTGACTTCTATCGACATTAACATTTAAATAGTAATCAGTATCTCGATACGTCGCACTATGTAAATATTAAAAGCAACATTATCTTCGAATAGGATTTTTTAATATAACACAAGAAAATCATATTAAAAAAGAATTACGAAAACATGTCTTGCAATTTGTGTCACTGTCCTTATTATGTGAGTATTGTGCTACTTTACTGTTGATTTTGACACGTGACCTGAATTCAAGATCTTAGGCACAATGTATGAGATGATTCTACTGAATTTCACTGGCTATTCCTTTCCTTTTGTATGTTAAATACACTATGATAGAAAATAGAATATTTTACGAACATTGGTGGATTTTTTTTCTTTTTAAAATTATTTGTTCTATTTATTTTATTTTTCTGAAGTTTGATGGTCATCACAAGATAAATTGCTAAGGTTATAAAATACTTACAAGGTGAGTGTCGTTGAGGAAGCAGAAGACGCTTACTCATACGGAACACCTGAACTTATTCTCCTTGTACTATTTTACCATAGTTTCATTGATCCTCATCTATGCTGCATTTAAATTCAACCTTATGACAAATATTATGTGACGGATTTTAGAAACATTTCGATGACTTGTCAAATTATATATATAATTATCATATATATGAATCGTTTAATCAATTTTCTATACTGAAACATCAAGAAAATACATTTCAACATAATCCAAATCCAAATTCAAATTCAATAAAGTATGGCAAAATATGAACAAAACAAAGATTTAAACGGAGAATCCTGATAACAGTACGTCATCTTCATTGACAAAACCCGACACGTAAATCTTGGTCAATTTATGTGAGTAATATCACATTTCCAAATGAGAGTAAGAAAAAAACAACGGAATCACCAGACATACTAACGGGCATCAAACTCGCACAGCTTGAAATCAACAAAATTACATAAATATTTCTGAATGAGAATTTTACGACCATAAAACTTCCCTAACATATTATACTATACATAGTTTTAGGCCCTAGTCATCACTGATGAGTCCTAGAAGGACGAAACATCTGTATGATGTATTTTAATTCAATTTACAACGCTGAATTGAAAAAAAAGAAGTTTATTAAACTAAGCTTTAGATTTTTACTACGTTAACCGTTACAACGTTTAATGCAATAAAATGAAGTGAGTGCATTATCTCGAATTCTTGGGTTTTGTGGGAGGCTGTTACATGTTTTCAATAGTTGACAGAAGTCTACTTGACACTGTGGGATACCAATCAAAGTCAGATTATACTGAAAACTACACCAAAATAATACTAGAGGTTTACCACACTCGGGTATATCTCTAGCAAGGATAAGAATGCTCACTTGGATGTTTAAACTTAGGCCGTGTCAAGGGAGACATATGATATATATGCCCTATCTGTATGGGCACGCCGGCATCAGCGATGGACATTGTGCATAATGATATAATGTTTCCTGAGGTTTACTGATGTAAATTACGATTTCATCGAAGAAGTATTTTTACCCGGCAATGTAGTAATTGACCGATAGTGAGAGAGAAAACACTTTTTTTGTGTCGAAACATATGTGGTTTACAGGAGAAGAATACCTTTGCTCCGATATTTGACGACGGCTCTTCCAAAACACTCCAAACTTTCGCCTCTACAGCTTTCCACCCTGTCCCTCGTGTTCTTTCCTCTATTTCTTTTCTTTCATTTTTCCTGGCAGTTTGATCGTTATCCAATATTTTCAAAACGTTTTGGTCGTCAAAGAAACCAACGTATCTACTATAGCAACAGTTTTCCATCTTATCCGGTGTGATCCCCCAAAATTCCATCTCGTCATTGAATTCCGAGGGACACAAAGAAGAAGGCATATGCAGTCCTCTGTTTTGAAAATATCCCAACACTACAGGAAAACAGTTTGGATGTCTTTCAAAGAAAAGGTCCCCTGATTTAGTAACTTTGTAGAGTTGAGATGTTTCCTTCGTGCCATGCTTTTCTTGTAAGTTACTTTCTATGCAACTCCAGGTGTCTTTAGAGATCTCAAATTTTGTACCACTGATGCTGATTGTGATATTATCCTCTTCCGCCATGTCTGATAGGTGTCTGACCAGGAAGCTTTGTAAGTCTGTATTCAGTGTACTCTCTTCACTGAAGGCTATAAACTAACACATGTAACCACCCGCCGGAAGATTGTCTTTCTTGGAAATCAATATGATTGGCATATAATCAATATACATAAAACGTAGAAATTAATGTTCAAAATCAAATCACACAGACGAAGAAAACTATATTTGAAATCGATAAATTACAACAAAACTGCGAGCACATTTAGTGTAAATGGCAGATAACGACTCGTTGTTGTGACACAATATCTCGTAATTCCAGACACTTCCACAGCAGAAATGTATATGGCGTCGAACGAGGCAAGAAATGTGAAATGAAAAACCAGGTACAAGCAGTGCTAAGATATACTTACTAATATATAGTGAGCACGTCACACAAATGGGAAAGATGAATATTTATTGAATCGTCGTCATTGGGAATGTCAAATAGATATTCCGTATGAAAGGTAGCAAAAATCGATAATCAGCATTGTTCACAAAGGACATAAAGTATGTATCAATATCGAAGGTATTATCCAATATTTATAATGGATGAAAACAAACAGGTGAATGGATATATATATATATATATATATATATATATATATATATATATATATAAATATGTATCTAATCGATGAATTAATGGTGCCAGTACGGACAAGTGAACAAGTTTATCAAAACACAAAATAATATATGAATTATATCACTTACATAGAACATGAAACAAACACAAAAGTTGGTACCTAAAGTCGTAAACGGTAGTGTAATAAAAGCGTCTCGATAATCCATTTGTCCGGCATGAAAAATGAATAAAGCTTTCTAAAGAAAACAAGTAATGCTAAATATAACAGGATTTTTTGTAAAGTGCAATTATTAAAGTGGATTACGTTCACTTTCACGCAGGTAGGGTGTAAAATTTGTACGTAATAACCATTTCATGATCGTAAAATGCAACCAATCTTTATTATCTTCCTCTCATTTAAAAATACCTTGCTTCTTTCTAGTGTCTCTGTTTATCCTGCCTCACATCAGTCCTGTGCTCTGTGAGTACATCTAAGTTAGGAAGGTTGCGGGCCCTATCCCAAAGTCTTGACATACACGTGCACCGATAAAGGAACGGCGTGTTAAGTACCCAGTTCTTGCACAAAGATTGCTGAGCCCCTTGCCGATATAATGCGACCAGGTGTGGTGTCGTGCTTCCGTGCCTTGTTGTAACATTTCAGTGTGATGACACTATAGAAATGTCCCTTTTGAGAGTATAATGTGACCAGGTGGTGTATCATACTTCATTGTCAAGATTTATAACATTCAGTGACATGACAATATAAAAGTGTCCCTGTTGTCAGTATATAGTGACCGGGTGGAATGCCATGCTATTTTATCCGGTGTTGTACCATTTCAGTGTGATGACACTATAAACACGTGTGTCAGTGGCTATACTTCCGTGTATATTTTATATGCCACAACAGGTACGATTACTTAAACCCCTAGAAATTTAACATGATATCAATGAAGCATTTTGTGTTTTGAAATATAGTCAAGTCCATAACACACAAAGATAGGTCAATGTAAATCGTTGAAGAACGAGAGAAAAACCTCGTGAGAAATTATAATTTTCTTAATTTATAGCTTGATAATATGATCCTTTATGAAACAGACCTTTTCATTCGCTAACTTTTAAATGTGGCATCCAATAAAAAAGAGATCTTTTTGTAAAGTTATATTTGATTGGCCAATGCGGCAGCGTAAGAATTTATTAAACAGTCCATTACGTTATGAAAAAAACTCAAACGGTACAATATGCTTACACTTATCTCTTACTTAAAACATCTACCTCGTTTGTATTAATGTAGAAAATATTATTTTTTATATAAAAAATGCCTCAGACAATAAACCTCAAAATCCGTCCCATTTTATCTCCTGTTCTCAATCTATTCCAACTGTGATTTCTTACTTTGCATATATGATATCTAATATGTTATTACCAGCATGTTCATGTTACGTTTTTAAAAGAAATGACATTGTAGCATTTTCCCAAAACAAACCTACATTTTTTGTAAGTTTTTTGGCGCAAATAGGGCGCTAACTGGTACCAGGATGGAGAAAATATTTCGCATACAGTTCCCTAGTGCTTATGTACGTGGCTGTCAACTCCTGCACTGGGGTTCAATAATTATCTAGCGTGTTTAATGAAATATTCATTCTTGCTGTATCTGTTGTCCTGTTTTACAGCGTTAAATGTGTTTTCTGCTTCAGTTGATACTAATACTGAGAGCGGTACATGCATTGACATTCGCTTCTTGGAAGGTATTTGCCAGTCGTGTGTAAAGGCAAAAAAGTTCATAGTACGATGTGTTGCAGTAAGAGCAATTCTTCATATCATGTATGCAATAAAATCTTTGATCGATGTCTCTGCTCTTCTTTTGTACTATTTAATTGTGCTTGTCTCCATGATACTTGGAGTGTCCTCCAAAAAGATTGTACAAAAGACTCACAAGTGGATAGTTCATTTTAATACAAGTTTAGAACTAGATATAGCATATCGAAATAATGGAACAAACTGTATTTTACAGCTGTTTCGTCCTTCTAGGTATTGTCAGTTATGCTAACAACCTAAACTTGTAACCGATGAGGCGACTGAGGAAAAAACCAAAGAGATCGGAAGAAAAATCTATATGGGGAGGTGCACTAGTCCCGAAGTTCAAAATTTATTTTTATCAAGTACTGTTCTGTTTCAGATCATAATAGAAACACAAGTAAGGTTTGCAAAAACAACACAGAAATGCATTTTTGGTTCAAGTTAATGTCATCTTATTAATAATATATGAATGTCTCCGCCAAGAATCGAACCTGGGACCTCTTTCTAACTAGTTTTATTAGATCGACGAACTGCTTATTGCAGCTAGTATTTATAGTCCAGAAGCTAGAAGAGTCCACCGTCAATCACAACTTCATGAAGACCGACGCCATTATATAACCTAAAGGGAATAAAGTCTTAGCTTTATTGCTTCATATGGATAGAATATAATATATATATACAAATGTTGGTGCACCGTAGGTGACACATTTCGAAAACTAATTTCTCATCAGCAATGCTCAAAACCGGAGAGTTTGTTAAGCCAAATACCATGTAAATGAGATTGGAGGATGTATGCCAAAACTACCTAATACGAAATCAAAAGCAGGTGTAGGATATCATTTTTTGTATGTTACAGATCATGGAAGTAGTGATTGGTTTAAATACATACAAGGACAGTGATGCAAGGTTCATCTGATACCCAGGATCCACCAAAAGATGATTGCCCGCCGTCAAAGAGAAGGCGTGGTGAGGCATCAACGTCCGATATGAAAACAAGATGTGTCATCCATATCCAAGGATTAAAATGTAGACAACTATAGTTATTCGTGAACATGAAAGACGGCAACAAAACAAAAGAAGTAGGATCCCGAAGACTTTGTCAACCAGTTGGTTCTATACATAGAATGCAGCAAGAATGAGGCATGCACAAAGAAACCTCCAGGTTGGAAGCAGTTCCAGACAAATGATGACAACAAGACACAATTCATCAATCTCCTCTGCAAGACGTAGAGTAATCATTCATATGCCAATAAGCTCCTTGGAAGAAAAGTTATCATCATATGTGAAGGAGCTGCATACCAGCTGACGTCTGAAGATGGGCAAAGCACAGCGAAGGTGGAAATCGGAACTCTACGTTCATCCCAAGAGGAAACTGATTCCATAATAATTCAGTACGCATGTATGGAAAGGACATGGAATACGAGTACATATGGATCAAAAGTTCAGATAGTGATGTTTTCTCCATCCTAGTGCACTACGCCCTCACATTGCCAAATGTAGTGATTCTATTTGACACTGGCACTGGAAATAAGCAACGACTGATCAACATCACAGAACTGGGGGGGCTGCACGGAGGACTCTTACGCAAATCTCTCAACTATCCTGTTATCCGTCCATGTGAAAAAAATCTTAATACGCAATGGCATTTCTAATTCACATAGACATACTGTTAATCACTTATTGTTCACGTGACTTATAAATCTATACTCTTAATCACTTCTATTTCGTGTGGGTTTATTTTCGCGTTAATACGCGAGGGAGTCAATCGCGAATTCAAATTAGTTTACTGCTTGAATAGACAATGGATTTTCCAACATTTAAACACAAACAGAACTTCTGAACAATTGTAACCTTTCAATTCAGACATCTTCAGGTATAGGCACATGCTTGTCATAAACAAAGTTGTTACCAATATGATGATATCGATTTGCAATAATTGAGTCTTGCAGAATACACATCTCTTACGGATCATCATTCGAGAAGTCAGTCTTTTCCAAAATCGTGTATTCGTGTATGTTTGAAGATATTTGCTCGCGAAATAAAGTATTGGCAAAATCTACTTAATTAACCGTTTATCTTATTATGTAAGTATGGAGTTTTAGCTTATTCTTGGATGGTCCTTTGGTGTTGTGGTACCGCGCTCGTCTTACACCTAAACATCCGTGGTTCGATTCTTTGAGCGGAGGTGTAAAGTATTGGTGTTACCTTCCCGACCACGTGGATTTTTCTCGGATGTTGCAGTTTTCTCAAACAGTAACATCTCCAGCAATCTTCTATCGGGGCAGACAAACGTGACTAATGTAAACTTATAGCTAGCTTCACAATTATTGTAAACTGAATAAAGCACCGTAAGCAGGATATTTTCGCTGGATGATATTTTCGCTATTTCATTGTACATAAACATGACCGCGAAAATTTGATCCTTTATATAATGAGTTTGCATTAAATGTTCTTTTACTCGTTAAAATATAATTTCACCATATCATTTGGAAAATTGCGAAATTATTTGTAAAAATTACCAATTATGTGGTTTACGTAAAGGCCTCATCTTGATTTCCGCCTTTACTCGCCATTCGAAATTGCTCTTTCAATTCAGTCTGAAAATAGAATCAAGTTTCTTTCAAAATGTTTCAGGAAACAACGGGTTTTAGCCACTAGTTCACCACAAACTGTAAATTTAAATCATTTAATTCGAGACTTCAAGTTAACTTACAAACGACCTTGGAGAAACGGAACAATTCTCTAGTGCGTATATGAGCTGTTGTTCGATGACGAGTGAATCTGTTGTCATTGGTTTTCACGTAGCGTAAAGATACAACCTGAAACAAGCAACCCTGTTAATGGTTTTATAGAAACAGATACTGATGGTGGTTTGGTCAATGAAAACGTTAACTCGACATTAAGTGGTAGAGCTCAAAATATACAACCCATAATGATGTCGCAATGCTCAGGACATTTGATTGGATCAATTTTGAGGCGGGCGAGTTAATAGTCCGCAGCTCCTTTAACAATGATACAAAAATTCCATTAGATTAGGGTGGACAAGCTCAATTGTTACTATTATTATTTAGCAGACAAATTGGTTTCTAGATTTCATATACAATCGACTATCTGAATAGGCAGGTGCTAATCTCCTGAAATCATTCAATACATTATAACGTGCAACCTACAACAGATGACGCGCTTTAGTGTCGTCCCTTTCTCATTATCTGCATATCGATCAGATTTACCTACGTTTAATCCATAAAGAATTAAATCCCAACATGTGACAAGCCGGTATATTACTTTGATAATATCGGTGATATTCCTTTTGTTCGTCATTAGATTAACGAACCTGTGATTTTGTTCGAATTTACAGGTACTAGTGTTCTTGTATAAATCCTAGAATTATGCCACCTGAATTGAAACTTACAAAAGCAAAAACATTAATTTCGTTTCATACAAATTTTCTTTTATTTTTCATTTCTTTTTATCATTATCCATTAAGGCAATATCTTAATGAGGAATGGGAGGTGTGGTCAATATATAAATAGTAACAGTGGTGCAAGATCTGTAATTTAGTTTTATATATATATATATATATATGAGTTTAAACAAGGAGATAAATCCGAAGTTCCTTATTAATAGCGTTTGCAGACGTCGCTTTGGATTTCAAATCTACATGTGTTGTGCTTGGGTGGTTGTGGCTGGGAAAAAGTTGCACTCTTTGATGGTATAGGAAAAGCAGGATATTTTGTATTATTGGATGATTGGATGTGTTTTTCATCGGTATGCCCCCGGATCGAAAGATCGTGGGCATATTATTTTTGTGCTGTCTACTTGCTTGTCTGTTTTGTCGGAGGTCAACTTTAACCTAACTTTTGCACCGTAAGAGGTAGGACTTTCATATTCGGTGTGCGTGTTCCTTGTGACAAGCATTTCCGGTGGATCATGTGACCGTGAACGTGACCATTGCACTACAATTTGAAAAATCTTAATAATCGCCATAACTTTTGTACCGTAAGAAGTAAGGCTTCTAGAGTTTTAGGTATTTATTTGTAATGAAGTAAAACATTCTATTGCCACAATGAAGACACAAATGTTTCACAAAGAGAGCATGCAATTAACAAATGTCTTACAGTTTTAATGTCCCACTTCAGAATTTTGCTGCAACTGGCGGCAATAATGTTTCAAAAATACATCTTTTTCCTTTGCTGTTGTTGTTGATAATATTTAAGACTTGTTTTATAGTGCAAATCTTAAGTATTTGTTAGATTTCATCGATTGTAATGGTCTTGCAGTTTGTAATTATTTTAATTTATGTCTAGTTGGTGAGACAACAATTACAATGCATTTGTCTGGATGGAACTTCATTCGGCAACCATATCGATCTCCTTGCTGCATTCGGATCTTCTTGAAGTTTGTGTCGTCTTCGTATTTGATTACTTTGTACAGTTTGCTATCATCAATAAATAGGCAGAGGGTGTTATGTGTTCTATATTTGGAAAGTCGTCCATGTATATCATGACGAGGATTAGGTCCAAACAAGTTGCTTGTGCCATACCAGATATTACATATATTTTGCTTGATGTTTTCTCGACAGGTGCTACTGTTTAGATATGTTGTGTTAGGAAGTCTGTACTTCGTGTTAGAATATGTATTGTAAAGATTAACGAGTGTTTCAGTTGTCTTGTTTTTGTGAATTTAGATGAATGTCTCTGGGTATGGAGGGGACATGTGTCCCTAGAGATGCAACAGAAAGAAAAAGACATTGTAACATGTTTGATGCTCGTAAGTATACCTGTTTATTTAGTTGCTGTTCTCATTAACGGACGTGACATTATTTACAATGTATTAACAAGAAAGCGTTTCATGGAGGATGTCGTAGGTGAAGCGAAGAACCTTGCTCTTACGGAACACCTGGTCTTATTTTCCGGGGTTTTTTTTCGTGAATACCCGTGTTAATTTTTCTATTGATCATATTTTGTCTTGGTTTCAGTAGGACTGAATAAATATGTGGTGTTTTCTTTGTGTTGCTATCAGTAAAACGATTACCATGCTGTAATGTTTCATACTATTGAAAATGATAAAGGAAAATATTTCTTTGATTTAAACTTAAGTTGAAAAAGAAGTTTTCAGATCAAAAGGTCTCTTTCTGTACTATATCAAAATCTCTTCTGCATGATCACTTTTTCGGCGGCAGGTGTTTATTACGGTATGATAAACGAGAGGAGAAGCGAACCTATCACAACCTTATATACAAGCAAAACGTATATAGATCAGTTTTCGACAAATTGTTTTTCATAATGGAAGATTGTATGCATAGTACTGGACCTCGATTTAGCGAGATTTTTAGAGGGAAAGAAGAATTCGCTTATTTTTATTACACACTTTTTCTGATCCTCTAGTAATTTTTTGAAGGTCCTAATTCAAATATATATATTTTTCAACTTCTCTCCTCGTTTTACATATATTTGCATTTTTCAGAATTTCTAGAAGTGTTTATTTTGATTTAGATATGGATTCTATATAAAACACTTTCATCTTTCATTTTTGTGTGACTCGGATGTACGTACCTTAGCCAGCTGTCCAGATGACGGTTCCTCCATGATGCTCCAGACTGTCGCCTGTACTGCTCCCCAGTCCTTTGCACGTCGTCGGCGATCCAGATAAATCCTTTCGTTTATTCGGTTAGATTGGTCAGTATCCAGCATAGTCAACATTTTTTGGTCATCAAAAAATCCTACAAATCTACTGTAGCAGCAATTTGACATCTTTTCCGCATCGATTCCCCAAAACAGCAATTCTTCTTTAAACTCCATGGGGCATATTGATCCTGGCATGTGTAGTCCTCTATTTTGAAAGTACCCCAATACCACAGAAAAACATACTGGATGTCTTTCAAAGAAATATTCGTTATGTAATCTTGTATATAATTTAGACGCTTCCTCTGCTCCGTGAGTTTCATGAAGTTTTCTTTCGATGCTCAACCACGTGTCCTTTGATATTTCAAACCTAGTTCCACTGACGTTTACGGTGACAATGCCGTTAACATCCATTGTTTAGAATCAGTGGTTCCGCTGTGATCATACCGTGACAAATAAAATAAATACTTCAACAAAAACGTCAAGTTTCGTAGCCCTGTCCCGTGTTTGATAATTAGTTAAAACGTAACGAAAGTGTGATGACAAATTTGATTACAGAGATAAAACAAGTGTTTCAGTAAGAGCGTCTAATGATGAAAGCAAAGACACTCCTTAAATGTTTTTTTCTGTATACGTCGACCCTTTTCTTGAGTAAAGATGAAAACCGTTCCAATTTATAATTTATTTATAGATGGGTGGGTAAGGATTTTTTTCATTAAAGTTCTCTTTGTTTCATCTACAAATGCATACTTATTCCATATCATTAGCGTCGAAGATTTCATGTGTGAACTGAAAAGTATCTTTAAATAATTCCGTATGCGTCAGCTGAATACCTAACGGTATCTTTACTAATGGATCTTTGCCGGACTGAGACGCCTTACTTAAATACCTACCTTTGATGGTTATTGATAAGACATCAGTAGGCTATCGAACGGGAAATCAGATTCAATCGATTTTTTTCCTAGCCTATCGACGCCAATACATGTGATCGAATTAGTTTTTACGGCAGTCGATCAACGATACAGATTGTGAAAACATACCTCGACATTTGGTGAAATACTAATAAGATATTCTAAATGGACATCTACCGTCCCCGAAGACACAGGTCAAGTGGTACCATAACAATAGTCATAAAATTGAACAAAGTACATTGGTCTACCAAAGTGACGAAGTGGCCATCTAGCCTTTGTGCTAATTAATATTGCAGGTATCGGGTTTACCACACAGATCGCTCGACTGTTTTTGATCGATTTGTCTATCATATTTATTCTACTGTTAAAATAATTTCCTTACCATAATGACCAAGAATGAAGCAGTTGACATGACCAGTGTGGTTGATCCCTATTAGTTTTAAAATTATTTTAAAATCAATGAAGATAAGGACGGGAGTTTGACCATATCTGTTTTGCTTACGTCTGGACCGAGAACAGCAAATTTAGCCTTTGGTAGAACTTGAAATCAAATTTTCTTCCAGCAATTTTTTTTTTCGTTTATGGAAAGTCAAATACATATTGTGTATGCAAGTTTTCACAAGCGAAGAGGATTCTTAAATCCAAATTTAGTAATAGGTACAGTATGTAGTGAAAAAATATGCGTTATTCTATCCTTTCCAGGACTAGGAAGAGCTTATTTGAACCAAGGAGTTGAAAAAGGAAATATTTAATGTCAAAATTTATATAGTAATGCATTAACGCTTTAACTCAATAAGCATCATAGTTTTCAATATTGGATGAAATGGAAAGACGTTGATTTTATTGTATATGTGAATACAGTCTCTCTGGACTGGCTTCCAATCAAAATGAATCTTACCTGCTGCCCATTTCCAGTTGTTTACGATCGTTTTGATAAAATATTCTGAAATCAAAGTACATGGGGCTCGTGCCGCAATTCAAATGAATTAAAGGTCACCACTCGCGGATTAGCGATAACCACATCTTGCAATTTCAATGGATTGTACAGAAGAGAGTGATAAACAACTGAATACCACAATATACATTGTAATTGATATTAAGAATGAGAAACATTTAAGCAAAAGCCCGAATCAAACTGCACCAAACAGTTCATTTGCCGTTCAAGGATTCAACATGGCAACCTAATCGTAATTAAAACTCCATAATATTCCGTAAAACTAGAGCAAAAAATGAACAAATAACAAAAAAAAAAAAAAAAAAATAAAAAAACAAAACAAAAATTACACGGAGACTCCTGAAAAATTGTAAGGAAACCAAGACCAGGTGTTCCGGTAAAGTAAGCGTCTTCGACGACATCCGCCATGAAAACCTTGGTAAATCAAAGTAAGTAATTCCACGTTCTCAAATCGTACGCTGAAATTTCTGTCAAGTTTTTACCTGTGTACTGCTGCCTAATCCCGTCGATAGTTAAGACAATACAATATATTTTAGATGAAAAAATCTTAGTTTAAACAGGTAGGATAGCTTTAATGGCGACAAATACATTCCTCCCTTTTGTTTTACCTACATTGACTTACTTGTTGACATTGTTCTTATTTCGGAACATGGAATTACTTACTTCATGTCGCCAAGGATTACTCCAGAATTAAAAAGAAACCTTCCGGAACACATGGCCTTGTTCTTGTACTACTTTTTTGAGGGTTTTCGGTGTAAATCATTATTTTGTTTATATTTTGCCTAAGGTTCATCTGGTTTGAATAATGATTCTGGTCTTTGTTTAGATCAGAAGTTAAAACATATCACATTCTGCATGTATGCAGAGATACTCCTTAACTCGGAACAGATGTCTCTGTTTGACATTCAGCTTAAAAGTGAATATAATAAGACTAGTTATCATGTTGTCAGTATAATGTCACCGAAGAGATTTAGATACCATCGCATTGGAATGACACTGTCAAATGGCAATATTGTTGTTTAATCAACCAATGAGGTTGTCTTCATTTGCTCTAGGTGATCAGGGACAAAAAAAACTACCGCTAGTCATTGGCCGAGTCTAATAAACGTTGAATTCTCATTTTAAAATAAAATACTGGATACTGAATTACCACGAAAGAGAGTGAGTTGCCTTATTTCCGAAAAAAGGTTTGCATTCGAAAAATGTCACATGACCCCGCTGACACAAGTATTGAAATCTAAATGTCTCAAATACTGTAAAGCTGTTAAATTTTCGTTGGTAAATATTTTCGCGATTTCTTGAACAATTGTTGAATTATGTTCTTAAGCGATTTAAGTCTCACGATCTGGATGTGAAATGACCTACACACGTGTATCATTATTTCACGGATAACACGGTAAGATATGAGGCCATATGATCAAATATAGTTAATCGTAAACATGTAAATGTAAAATTAGAATCGCATTGGAAATCTGAGAGAAGATTCAGTTACTAGTGACTTAATGCAAAATGCAAAGAAAAAAAAAGAATGAAAAAAAATCTAATGTAGCAGGTAAAACGCCTGACACAAGATAGATCTGACGATACTTTCACAAGTCCTCACAAATCAGAAATACCATATTAGGACGAATATCTAGGGAGACTTCATCTCAAATCAAACACTGGAAGAATTTTAAGAAAGTATTTAGATGCTAAGTGTTGCAGATGGGGAACAGTTCTGCCAATGTTTGGTTCTGATATAGATCGAATATTTCGTCTAATAGAAGGTCATTACAACGTTGTCAGTAACAACATTGTTAAAGTGATAAAAAATATAGATAAGATGATTACGAATGTGTTAAAAATAGATCCGTAACGTTCCCTTCCAGTGAATCTACCAAGGAAGCACCATTAAGTTACAGCGACTAATTAATTTTTCATAGTGCGAGATTCAGTGTTAAAGAGATTAAACAAAATAGGAGCGGCTTAAGGACACACGTTAAATAGTCACCGTCGTAAAAGCGTCGTTACTAACCAGAGATGAAAAGATTCCAATATCCTAAGATAAATGAGTCCATGGAAGGACCACGGTGTGACGACATTATTTCGCGAAAGCAGATACAAAAAGGCTTCTAAGGAATCAAAATATGAATATAAAGATTCAGAACCGATAAAGTCGGTTTAGTTATTTTTTTAAATAATCAATTTACTTATCTATTTGCCAGACATTTTCAAAACAAACTGATAACCTTTTCGAGCAGTTTGTTATAAACCCACTGGGGAAGGCGGTGATGTGTTTTAAAATCACGAGGTTGGGGTTTGGGTGGGGTGGGTTGGGGGGAGGGACTAGGGTAAGTACAAAAACATGCCTTCAACCTTTCCCCTTTTGGATAAAGAGACGACCGATCGGTGAGTGTAAAATAAAATTCCACACATCAAAACAGCAAAGTCAACTAAAAGCATTGTGACAGGAGACAACAACAGGAATCTGGAATATCAAGTTACATTACATGTATATAAAGTAAGATGATACTAAAACAGTTTTGGCCCGAATAGGCAATGGAACAACAATGAAAGTTAGAACGAGAGTTAGAAATTTAAACCATGCCATGCCTCAGTTTGGTTACCATGACTACCAAAACTCATCCAGTTCAGCCTGCGGGAAACCCATATGCCTTCACTTCATGTCTTGAGATCCGACTAATAGTGGATTGTGAATGGTTTGTCCTACGGATTTTGTTTAGTAAAACCCAAGAATAAGATCTGCAATATTCCAAAGAATGGTCGTAGGAGGCGAGCGACTGAAAACGAGGTCCGTGTGGTTATCTTAAATGTCTTCTACCAAATGACATTGCTCTAAATATATCTCTTTACATCCGTCCTCAAATGACCCCGGCTATTACAAGGACGTTTCACTCTAAAAAACACACAAACAAAAACAAAAACAAAACATATACACACACAAAATAAAAGTTTGGTCTATTTTTTTTAAATAACAGGAAAACGGATATAGCTAAATTGCTTGAAATAGCTCGCTATTTGGTGACATCTTGAATGACGTCATCAATATTCGGCATATTTGCAGATTCACATCAATACTTCAGCAAGGTTTCATTAAAATAAGGTGAACAATCTCCGAGAAAAAATGTTGAAAACTTCAATTCTATTTTTAAACCGTCGAACAATGGGTAGAATCCCATCCCATCTCTTTACCCAAGAAATTTGCGTTCCAAATATGGTCATGATCGACCGATCTAAAGAGCAGCTCTGTCAAAGAAATCGGAGTGTTATTATTATAATGTTATTAGTAATAGATCGCGTGAAATTTAACCCTGATTTTTAAAGGCAATCCCATGAGTCATCTCCACACAACTCAAAGTTTAAAGACTGAAGAAAAAGCAGCTCAAAAGCAAAGGAGAAATAATACAGCTCTTTGCGTTACTTTTCAGTTCGAGATTTAACATGTTCCGATAGCTTGTTCACATCTGTAATGCCAATTATGTCCATGTACTCATAAGGATTCGTGAATAATACTGTACCAATCGAGATTTCGTTCCGTTAAATTTCTT